AGCATATTCCCGTTGACCAGAGTCGAAGCATAATTTGGTTATCATCGATCGATTTGGTCCGAGTGTGCGCCGTGCATTACGCTTCTACGCAGAGGTGGTGGAAAGGTGTAACTTCTAATTTTAGGTGATTTTTGTCCATGCAAGCAGATGTTTGTTTAGGGTTTGGAAAGGTCGATACGCACGAATCTGTTTGAGACGTATTACCTAGTCATCTACGTACTTAGAATTCATGCTAACTATTGATACTGCTGATCAATTGTTTTGATATATTTAGTAGTTTTCCTTACATTCGGGTCCTCTGCTGCTTCCCGTCCGCTCCATCAAGCTTAGCGATGACACTTTTGTGCTGTTTGGTGCTCACCGACCCTGCGTTTACGATTTCCCCAACCGCCGCGTACGACCCCACCTTATGGGTTTCACACAACCATGCTGTGCCCAGGGTAAGGGTCAGCCGGTTCAAACGGACGGTTGCACTGCATTCAGGAAAATGAGGATGACTAGCTGCTTCCAGATTACTTTTTCTGACACAGTAGAGCTTCATGTCCATGTAACGTAGGTTTCCCCAACCACATTTCCAAGTGTGAAAGGAGTGGTGGGATCGACAGGCTTTGCCGCAGTCCTTTTCGCAATTCTCAAACATTCCGCTTCATTTTTTGTATATACCCCCCCCACCTAATGAGCAGTTCTGACAGAGTTCTGTTCTTGTATGGAAGTCGGCATCGAATGTTTAGCAGAAGAAATGGAGTGAAATATTAATCTGCGTCAATTGCCGTACAATAAATAAGAGGTAAATAAATGAGCAAATAAATGAACACATTGAATTACAAATTTCAGATTCTGGCCTCTACCCAACCAGGCACGTATTCTGCTCACTGCAAATATGCCCTATCTAATATGACTTACAAGGGAACCCCAATAGGTCGATCCGGCCATTTGCAGTGAGATGTATAAATATGGACGTGTCTTGAGCCGCCGAATCCAAATCTGCCCTCCGATTTTGCGGAACGATTCTCCAAAGGGAGTTACGGACCATTTAATCTTAGCTCCGTTTGCTCAAGTTGAGAAGGATAACTGCATGCGGCAAGCCGCCGATGGCCTAGTGGATAAGTGCATTGCTTCAGAGACACGAGGTCGAATGTTGGAATCCTTGGCTATCGAAATCTTTTGCTTTTCATTCAAAACACTTGGTATGAGCCCTCCGAAATTTCTATTTGGCCATTTCGCCTAATTTCTTGATTAGTTGCCAACGAAAGGCGGGCGATTCCCCATGTAGGGTTCCTCTTGAAAACTTTTTTATTATGAGGATAACCACATGTCACAAGGGTTTTTGCAATGAAATTAGAGGACGATGATGCAAACGGCAAGAATAAGTAAGCCGGGTAATGTCTTTGCGAAAAGATACATGAAGAGGTATTTCAGT